TAGCAGTTATATCTTCTTTATCAGATTCCATTCTCTGGATAATTTGATCTGATCCATTGGTACTGAATCTGAAACTTCTTTCCTTGTATCCCGAGGTAACCCTGTCAATGGTTTGGCCAATGGTCTCGTAGTCCCTCATAATATTGCTCCATTGTTTTCATGATGATGGTACAGTAAATAAATGAATGATCTTGGTTTTACTGTTACAGAAACCTTTCATGAATTATTATATGTTTTTATAATTAAAGTACATGACAGTACTTAAATAAAAATGTGAAAAATGCAATAAATGAAAAATAAGAATGCAAAATGTGCAATTCAAAGATATAAAAATACAAAATGAAAATGCACAGATACAAAATGTAAATGCATGTATGAAAAGGTGTTACTTAAGAGTGATCATCTTAGAACAGATTTCATTGAACACAAAGCTTCAGTACATCAAACAAAACTTTTACATGTAGGGGACAACTTTTAATCCTAACTTCAACAAAACTTTACATATAGGGAATAACTTTCCCATTTTCTTCTAAAACCAAGTTAGATTATCAGCTTATGGGCCATATTGCTTGTCTGGACTGCAGCTTCTTTCATGACATTCTGGGGTTCTTTCATCTCCTATGTTAATTCTTGGAGTTGATCATTTTCCTTTGCGAGAGAACATTTGTGTTCAAAAAGTTTTTGGAGAAGATCTTCATGTATGCTGCAACTCTTTTTCAGTTTAGTGACCCTGATATCCACTCTTCTGGGGTGTTTCCTATACCAGCATTTTGAAAAGCTTGACTGACCTTCTGGAAGTCTTCATGTACGGTTTCCATTTTGGTGCTCAATTTATCGTTTTCAATCTTCAAATGACGTATTTGAGCTTCAAACCACAGCAAATCTTCTTCTCTTTGGGCGTCCCTACTGATATTCTTACATTTGAAGACTTTTGGTATTAATCTATCAGGACCCTTAGTTACCAAACTAGGTCGATCATTTACCATAAATTGTAAAGTTCCATGATCCAAAAGACTTTGGACTCGGCGTTTGAAGGCAAGACAATTCTCGATGGTATGTCCTTGAGCTCCGGCATGATATTCACAATGAACGTTGATGTCATACCAATTTGGATACGGAGGTTGGAATAGTTTTATATAATATGGATCCACTTCTCGTGCTTCAAGTAGCTTTTCATACAACTCTTTATATGATATGGGGATAGTATCAAGAGAACCACCTTTTGTCTTGGATTGACCTGAGTTTTAGACATCGGGAGCAGACCAAACTTTGATGATTTTGATTACATGATTTTCTCTTCTCTGGGAGCTTGTACGGTTGTCACCATTTCTTTGGTATCTCCATACGATTTGTGAATACGAATGATGATTGTCTGTAATTTCTCTAATTGGTTAGGAATCGAAATCCCTTGCGTATCTGAAACTGCAGAGTTAGGTTCATTGAGCTCTCTCTCTTTCTGTGTTGGAATCTCTTTTCCTTTGGCCAACACAGATATTCTATCCATCATCTTGGACATCTGCTCTCTTATTTCTCGTATCTCCTCTTGCTCCTTAATGGTCATACGATCTTTGGGTGCATAGCTTGCTTCTATCCTCGGAGTTTCCTCAGAATGTCTTTCTTTGGCCGCATCATATTTTGTTTGATCATAGAACTTTTGTCCATTTATGACTTCTTTCTAATTTGATGAACAGTCTTTTCAGTTATACCTTTTGGTCATGATCATGCAATGCAAACAAAAGAAAATAATTTAAACAAATTAGAGCAAAAACATACATGGGAAAATAAGAAAAAATAAAATGGTTAATACCAACTAATTGAAAGAAAAATTTATTTATCATGGTATATAATAAATCCTAACCTCATGCTTTTAGTTCCATGCTTTGTTTGGAAAAATTAACCTAACCGCATGATTTCTAGTTCGCATGCATTTATTCAGGGAGAAAAATAATAATAAATTAAATAAATTAAAAGCTAGAGCTTATTTCTCCTTGGTGTACACCTATGAATAGAGGTTCAGTACTGTCTTAGATTAGGTGAATTTCTAGGGTTTATTATATGCAGAGTTTCAGTTCTAAGAGTAAAGGTACTCGAATTGTCCTTGTTGATGCCCCCTTGGGCTGTCAACCCTCAATCCTAGTCCATTACAGACTTAAACGGATCGAGTTCAATTCGAGGGGACACATTTCTATACCTGACACGGAGAATAAATTCTCACGAAGACATAGAGCATATGAACCCCAAAAGTTACTTGCTAGGTCTGACAAGGAGAATAAATTCTCACGAAAACGTCGCTTTCACTCCCACTTAAAAGGGACAAACTCAATTGCAGAGTCGCCAAGTTGTCGTAACCGAATTTCGTCCGGGCACGAAATATTATACTTGGCGGGAAATTGATGTAAATAAATAGTTTTGAAAATAATTTGGGAGTCGCCATCGGCCTTTTGGGTCAGGTAGGTCGAATACCTAAAAATTATTTTTTTTAAAAGAGTTTTAAGAAAACACCAATTAAAAAATGAACTGATCTGCGTTTAACCAAAAATTCGTTCTTTTTAATAATAAAAAGGGATTCGTGGTCGATACGTTTAGGGAAGGATTAGCACCCTACAACGCCCAAAATTGGTACTTTTTAATTATAAATTGTCTCTATTATTAAAAATTAAAAAATTCAAATATATTTAATTTATAATCCTATATTTCAAATTATATAAAAAAAAATATTAAAAAATATCAGAAAAGGACTTCTAGGTGCTTTAAGACAGCTCTTTTCTTTAATATTTAAAAATAAATATCAAAAACATTTTATTTTAATATAGTAAGATATTTATTTATTCAAAAATATCAGAAAAGAGCTTCTAGGTACCTTAAGACAACTTTTTTCTTGATATTAAAAATAAATAAATATCAAAATATGATTATTTTCTTAAAAGTAATTTATAAAATTAAATTTATAAATAGGAAAATAGAAAAAAGAAATAAATATTTATATATTTATAAGATATATATATTGACATAATTAATAAAGAATAATAATAATAATAGCAATGATAATTAAATATATGAACATAAATATATAAAGGTAACATATGATTAAATAATGTTTAAATACAATTAAAACATGGTATAAAAATAATAAAGCTTGTAAAATAAATGAAAATATTAAACTTATGGACTAAATTATAATCTAATAAAATTAAATACCCAATTCATAATTAATTATTTAAAATTAGGGATCAAACATGCTATTTTCCTTATTTATTAATTTGGTGACTAAAATAAAATTATAAAAATTTGAATATTAGATTAAAATAAATTCTCAGGATTAAAATATTATTTATTAAAACTAAAGGACTAAATACGTATTATCCTAAATATATTATTTAATAGAAAGGACTAAATAAATAAATCTAAAATTAAAGGACCGAATTAAAAGGATTATAAATGATTTAGTGACTAAAATGTAAAGTTACAAAGATGATGGACTGCGGATGGGGTTACTCATATGTGAAATTACACAGATACCTCACCAAAACGGCGTCGTTTTGATGAGGGTATTATACTATTTAAGCGGCCCTTAGGGCCATGATTTCATTTTTCTTTTTTTCATCTCTCTCTAACTGAGAGAGATGAAATTTCTCTGCCATCTCTCTAAAAGGATGAAGAGACATCGGCCGGCAGCCGTGCTCCGGCGCCGACCACGACCGCCGGCCACCGTATGACGGAGTAAGTTCTTCTTCTTTCTTCTCTGTTAGATTAGTGGTTCTTCTTGTTTGGGTTTCTTCTGTTTCTTTGTCTTGTTGTTTATCTGTTAATGTGGTTCTTCTTTTTTTTTCTGTTTCTTTGTCTGGTTTTTTTTTTCGTTCTCTGCCGTCTTCCTCTTTCTTGCAGGTGTGGCTTTTATAGCCATGGAGGTACGTTCTTCAGACCGGTTCCAGTGGGGACTTCTGGTGAGTCACCATAGCTATGGTGGTGACTCACCATAGAGTTCAACGTGGGTGGCTTCGTGGCACTCCTGGAGGATTCTTTGAGGCAGAGTCGTGGAAGCAAGGCGTCGGCATCATCTGGATGTGGAGGTGGCGCCGCGTGGATGTTCTGGAAGGTTGGAGGCGGCGGCTGGGATGTTGGACCATTGGTTGGGACGGCTGGCTGATGATGAAAGAAACCCTAGTTGTGTTTTAGGGTTATTGTTGGGCTAGCTCGTGATCAGGCCCCGATCTTGGCCTTTGTATATATATATATATATATATTTATTTAATAATAATAATATATAATAATAATAATAATAATAAAAATAGTAAGAAAAAAAAATTAGTGTTTACATCTATGATAAGTTGTGTGGAATTATCAGAGGTGTAATCACGACAATAATGAGATTATTATTGTCTAGAGAGTATGAGACTTATAAATAACAAACGAAAGTGTGATTTTTAAGAAGTATCGGCCTTCACTAAGTTGTGATAGCTTAATATATGATTGTTTTCTTCTATAGATTTCAATGTATCCGATAAGAGGATTATAGTACGATAAGTTACATCAAGTGAGAAATAGTCACACATATTTCATTAAGGTTCATTTTATGACTTTCCCTAATGGTAGTGGGATAGTGGCATGCACATAATGTGTCCGCAATATGTTCTTATGTTCATGTTTGTTTAGGGTAAATCTGATATGTATGAAATTGGTTGTATTATTTATATATGTTTTCAATTTTTAAATAATTATATTAATTTTAATTTTTGAATGTGATATTTTTGTTAACTAAATCTTTCAACTTGATTTATTAGTTTAAATCGTACTCAAACATTACTTTTTAATCTAAATAATACTTGTAATAAATAACTTGTTTGAATCATAAAATTAAATTTAAATATAATTTGAACTTTAAAATTCAATTCAATTATCTAATTAGAAAAATAGATACCAAAATAGTAGAATTTAATTGAGATTGGTAACTTGAATTTATTACCCTCCTTATTAAGCACAGTAAATGACAAAAGAAAAAGGAGTCTAATGCACCCACTTATTTTTCCTAAATTCAAATTGTCAAGCAAACTTGTATGGAACAAGATTGGATCACATTCTTCTACTTTGCAGAATCCTTTGTCCCATGTTTCTGCATCAAAAAGTGACAAAAAAAATGCAATTATATCAGTACAGTTAGAGATGAACCGAGAGAGAGTGATTGTCTCTAAAAATTTTAAATTCCTATATATTTTAGATATTTTGCTTATATTTTTTTTTGTTGAAAATCTATATTCGCCCCCTAAAATTTTATAAGTTCGCATCCTCTAACATAAAATATTGCATCCATCCCGTCAGTATTATCAATAATGTATGGGGGAAAAAGTGACATTTGTTGAAAAAATCGAAAATTAAAATTACCTTCCAAGCATCATAATTGTAGCCTGAGGATTGGTCCCGGGAGAGAAAGTAAAGGTAGAAGCATCTATAACCCTAAGTCTATCCACTCCAAAGACATTGAAATCCCTATCAACAACCTTCCCAATTTGGCAGCCTCCATGATAATGCCACACCGTCATCACGGTGTCAATGCAATACTGTTCCAATGAAGTTGTAGCATTGGGATGTTTTGGTCTCAGGTTCAGTGGCACGCTCAGCATCATCTTCAAAAGATCTTGTGTCGTCATGTTTCTGAAACGGAAACTCGACAACGATTTGGAATTCACGACGTCGATAATAGTTTGCACACCTTGGACACAGTGTCTTAAGTCCTCTGCTGCCTGGAAGTAGTTGAATCTTATCCTAGGGTTGTCACTGATATTTGTGGTTTGAAGCTCGAGATAACCCTTTGATATCGGACCTTTAATCGACCCAGATATTATTCCGAGGTTTGTCATTGCACTCGCCGCTGCTTCTTGGGGTGCCTTAGAGCTCTGGAGCTGATCCCCACCGGAAACAGAAAGGGCTGACAGATCAAATCCATTGAACGTCAAAATGTAGCTTTCACCGGAGTTTGCGATTCCCACAATTGTAGACGGTGAGAGCTGAATGTGATTTGAATAAGGAACTATAAGACTGTTTAATGGTTTATCTCCCATCTCTCGGCCGACCATGGGCTGATCTAGCACCACCTTGATGTCCAATGACCGGAGCTGATCCGCGGGACCAATGCCGCTCAGCATTAGCAATTGTGGGCTGCCGATCGCACCTGCCGATAAAATTATCTCGCTGTCATTGTTCGACTCGTTTTTCAAGTATGCCATGTGCTTTCCTCCATTCGCATCGTAAAAGATGACCCCCTCAGCTTTTGGTCTCGTTCCATCTACCACTCAAACAAAATAACTTAGAAGTGAATCAATAATTACTTGTGATAATTTGTTAGAAATTGTAACATAGAATCTGAAATTATATCGATCAATTTATGCTTAAACTAATTAAACGTGAGTACCTGTAGTCTTAAACGTGATCTTGTGCACAACAGCATGCAAGTAAACCTTAATCCTCCTCGGATTAGCATACTCAAGCAAATCAGCAGCGGTATGACGATTTCCATTTCTGTCAAAAATAGTTCCGCTAGTTTTAGTTCCATTAATATGAGCATACGTAAATCCATTATCAGGTAAAACCCCAGCTTCAAGCAACCCATTTCTCACTGCGGTTTGCCACTCGAACGAAGCTGGCTTGTTCACCAACTTCCTCTCAATCCACTCGTACGAATCTTTTGCTAATGCTTCATCTAAACCTATCTGCTTTAGGAATAATGGTTCGGCACGCGAGTAAAACCCGACGTTGATCGTCGTTCCACCTCCGAGAACCCTTGCTCGGTTGTTGGGAACTCCGTCCTCGGATATGAATGATTGAGAGAATGAATCCGGGGACATGTCGGTAAGAGTAGCGATAAAGTTTTCCATTCTTATTTTGGTGGTGTTGGCGTAGGGGGACCCTCCTCTTTCCAAGACTAGGACATTTGCATTTCGTGTGGACAACGTCGCCGCTAGCGGACAGCCGGCGGATCCTCCGCCGATGATTATATAGTCGTAGAACGAGACTTCTGGAGCAGAGGTTGCTTCTTGGATAAAGCTATATTTTGGAGCTGCAAATGCATATTATCATACCCTTATTTAAAGCAAATAATAAAATTAATATGGGCAAACTACACGTTTAGTATTCTAACTATCACTTTTATTCTGTTTTGGTCACTTAACAATTTTTTTCAAAACCATACCTAACCTTACGTTTTGGTTTTATTTTAATCACCCATCGTTAAAAAATTATCCGACTTATTGAGGTGATATTTTTCAAAAAAAATCAATGATGACTTGACATTACCTTATGATAACACATCAAAATCATCATTATTTTTTAACGGTGAGTGACAAATATGAAACCAAAGCATAATGTTATTTATGATTTTGAAATAAAAAAACAATTGGGTGATTAAAACGGAACAAAAGCAATAGTTGAGATACTAAATAAATAATTTATCCTATTAATAATGATTGAAAATCACCGATTCAAATTCAAATTTATGAAGAACAAAAGCTTGATTAGAAGAACTCTCAAATAGTTTAGATAGCATACCTTTCTCTGCATGATTAAGACAGTGAAAATTAGCAAATGCAACTCCAAAAACAAGTGCAATAAAGCTCCATGAGTACTTCGAACCCATATTTTTTTCCCTATGATTTTTGCTTCAAAGAGTTTATGCCACTATAAATAAATCTCTTTTCACCTAACCTTACAAGCTGTACTTGTAGATTTGGCCAACTAGCCCTAATTCATTAAAGTTGGCCAACTAAGTAATTAACTGAAAATCTGGCTTTTTAACTTTTCATTTTTTATGAATTAATTTTTCAATTTTTATTTGAATTTGAAAGATTATTTTCCATAAAAATGATTTTTTTAAAAAAAAAAACTTAAGAGCATTTGAAGTCATTATATTTTTGGGGAAAATAAAATATTATTACTTTTACATTCACTTGGATCCTCAAATTATGAAATTACTTTAAATAAGCACTTTAATTAATTTTAATAGTTAAGTGTCTTTTTATTTTTGTTTTGGATTGTCATTATTGTCCCATTCCATTTGTTGATTTTTCTGGAAATTATTAAACATTGTAAATAAATTTTAAAATAATAAAAAATATCAAAATTTTGTTAAAAACATAAAATTATTATTATGTACTAAAATTTATGATAAAGTCAAAAATAAAATAGTTTTAAAATTATAAAAAAAACATAATAAAATAATAAACAATTATTATTATTATTATTAAAACCCTAAATGTTTTCTAAAAATATAAAGTTTTTGTTGTTGAATGGTCTAGGGTGATTAGATTACCCTTATTCTTATTTTGTTTGTTAAATTTCCTATTTTGTTTTGTCAAATTCTTATTTTGTTTGTTAAATTTCCTATTTTGTTTTGTCAAATTCTTGATTAGATTACCTAAATGCAAGGTAATCGAATTTTAAGCTATAGCTCTCGTTTTGGTTCTTGCACGAGCTTCAAGTTGAAGCTTCATAATTTATATTTAATCTTTATTATGCTAAATATTTGAAATGTGAATTAATGTACAATTTCAAAGCTCAAAAAGTTATTGAAACTTTTAGTATTAAAGATAAAGAGAAAATTGTTGAATAAAGAAATAATCTGAGACAATTTTATAAATTTAAACTAAACGAATTTAGTTATAAGTCGTATCAATATGCATTCTGATTTGTTACGATTGTATAGGGATTTATTTTAAAATATGCTAAATTATAACTTTCCAATTAACTTTTGGTTAGTTTACGTACTATAAGAGGTGAGGTTCTGTAATGATTTTATTATATGTGATGTAAAAGATGCTGATTTGAAAATCAATTAAAAATATTAAAATAAGAATTACGATATAAAAGATAGTAATATGAGAATTAATAATAAAAAAAAGGTTAAAATAAAAACTATTTTTTAAGAGATGGTTTTTGAGTATAAAAAATCCTAAAAATACCACCTCTATGCAGGAGAGCATATAATTTTTATATTCTTTTGAGTGGATAGCCAAATTATATTTAATTTTTTTTAAAAAAATCGATATTTTTTTTCGCTCGCATAATTTTATTTGCATTTTGTAAAGAGAAAAAAAAAAGGAAAATCGTAATTCCGAAAGTAATAAATAAATAATAGGGTAAACTACCCAGATCATCACTCAACTTTATTCTTATTTCTATTTTGATCATTCAAATTTAATTTTTTTTAATAATTAAATTTTATAAAATATACTTCTTTTTGTTACTCCTCTGTTAATTTATCGACAGAGTGATGAGATGGAACTTGAAGTCAATTTTTGACCTTTTGGCTCCATTTGATTGATAAGCTCCTTGTGCATGCTTTTCACTTCGACTTCAACAGCCTTTTCAACCTTATCATTTACAGGCGGATCACTCGAAGGCATTTCCTCAACATGATAAATCTTCAAACCAATCTCACCTCGAATCCAACTAAAGAGTCCTTAATGAATATAACCATCTAGTTTACACTTTGCAATAGTTTCGTTTCTTCCATTTTAACAGCGACGACTCTGATTGAGCTCTCTAATGGCTTTAGATTGAAGCTAGACCATTAGTTTCGTCTTCGGTATCCATTAGTCGTTCCTGAATTCTCCCCAAAAGTTAGACCGATATCACCAGAATTATAGTCACCAATATGATGTAAAGGGGCCAAAACTATTGAAGTAAGAAAATTTGGTGTTCGTTGATTCACACCGAGGACACTTGCGAGCTGACGCAGGCTGGGTTATTTTAGCTAGCCTGGCTCGTTCCGTCATTGAACCAGGCCTAATACCACCTGCACCGCCACAAGCAGACGACCGTGCTGGTAGTGGAAGCTAAGAAATATGATGATTTTCGGTGGTAATACCTCCCATTTGTTGAAGAGTTGGTGGCTGCAGAATTAGAAAAAAGTTCAAAATATCAATATGCATAAATAAAAAAGAGAAGAAGATAAAATAAATGGTATATTCAAGTGAGGATTAGAAAGGGGCAGGAATATTATTTATATCTACATGACTTTGTTTTTTTAAATTCGTCCAACTAAATATTACTATTCAATTGGAGCAGAAGTTTCGAGTGATGGCTTGTTTCAGATGACATACAAGACAAAGGACATAACATATTGATCTTAACATGATCACAATGGGAAAAAGCCAATGAAAAATGGGGTTGCGGGCATTGAAGAAACTGACCTAGTTTCTCGAGATGATATTCACAAGAAGGAGCAGCTTGCTAGGATTTATGACCAGGTTCTTATTGTAGATAATAACTCTGCTGCAAAGGAAGTTGTTCTGATGCTTACAACTAAATACAGGCATCATGGCCATGCATGTGATACTGAGGTATTAGTTCCACTAGTTCTAATATCTTTTACCATTTTTTTTGTACGTGTAGTACATGTTGTATGGAATAGGAATCTGCTCCAACCACCATCCATGGCATTTTCGCTGGACTTGATTACTTTTAAGAAGGCAAATGAGCAATGCGACTCTCTCTCTCACACTCATTGCTGGTGTATCAAACTGAGAAAATAATGAGCAATCCGACACTTGCACTTTCTTGTCAACGTTTCTAGATCATAAATATAAAAAATGAGGATCAGGGAACTAACAGATTACAAAGAGAATAAAAGTGGAAAGAACAGAGACAAAGCAACAATCACGTAAGCGGCTCCAACGAAGGCACTGGGTGTCAAGTTTATTTGGGTTATGATTTGTGATGGCTCCCACACCAAAAACACTTGAAAATTGCTCCGTTTGTCCGAAAGGTGGAGCTGCAATCCACGTCCTCAGCTCGTTGTTTCTTTCTGCTGCTGAGGAGAGAAAGAGGGAGAAAGGGAGAAGAGGAGGTAGAAGAATAAAGGAAGGAGGAAAAGGAAAAGAAAATTAGTAGCTTTTTTATAAGGAACTCAAACTATGCCGTTTTGCTCTAATTTTTTTTTTATGATTCAAAATGATTTTGGTATACGTTGTCACATCAGAACGTTGTTAATTATTTTTTGGTTGAGTGACTGAAACAAGAGTAATTTGAAAGTTGAGTGATTAAGTTAAAAATAATTAAATTGTAGTGACTAAAATAGGAATGATAAGAAAATTGAGTGATAAAAAATAATTTACCCTAAATAATAAATATAGATAATTATAAAAATCTTTGTCGAGAAACAATCCTCGCACTCTCTCTTGTCTTTTTACTGCATCGGTATCTGTTCTTTTTCCTCCCAAAATCTGCAAAAAGGGTCTTCGTCTCCTTCGATCCTTTCTTCGTCTTGGTTTATGAGGTTCTCTCTCTTTCTCTGGATTTCTAATTTTATTTTTCTTGATCAGAGATCTGTAGTTTTTTTTTTTTGAATTCGCAGCACAGAATCGATTTGCTTTTTTATTGATCTTTGTATTATAATTTTGGGGTTTTCATAAGCATATATATTTTTGATTTTTTTAGTTTCTCTCTCTCTCTCTTGATTCCTGGGACTTCTCCGGAAGCTGTTTTAACAGTCCTCTGAACCCTATGGATGCACGTGGACCGCCAGCATTGGCTACAACCCTAAACCCCAGTTTGTAAAAGCTGCATCCTAATTTCACTTTCGCCTCTTTTGTTTACTTTTTCTCATCTCTCCCTTATTGAATCCAAGTTGGGGGTTCAAAAAAAATTTCAATACCGCCGAAGAACTTAAAATCATATTTGTTTGTCACTGGAGATTAATTTATTTACATCTTAATTTATGGGTATAATAGATAATTCCTGTTAAATTATGTCTAATTTGAAGATATTCAATTTCCTTAGTTACTGGAGATTAAAAATATTGGGATTTCATTTTGCATGCATTGAGATTTTCTGCTTGTAACATGTTAGCTGAAGTCCCGTTTTCATTTCTATTTACAGTTTGGAGATGAATGGTATAGAAATTGTGGACTTATCTAGTGATGATGAACTTGGAGAGGGAGATGTGAAATCTGTTAAAGTGGAACCTGGCTCTGTTAGGAGCACGATAAAGCAGCAAAATAACCATAGTGCTCAATCTGTTAAGTTCGTTGATTCCAAAGAGCAAACTAGAAAACAAGCCTCTGAAGCAAATAATGCTTTAAGTAATGGTCAAAGTAGTACTAGTGTTTTGGAGCAATGCCAGTCTCCGGATGATGATACAGGGGTTTGTTCAACATCAGCCCTATCTCCAGCCCCAATTTGTCGACAATTCTGGAAAGCTGGGAGCTATGAAGGGGGGCTTAGTTCCAAGGTCACGTTACAAAGTATGCAGCTATCAGTTATTTTTGCATTGTATTCTTATTGTTTTGTGGTTCCCCAATTCCTAATGCATCGTGTTTTCTTGTTTAACCTTTTTGCTTTTTATTTTTACAACAGATAGCACAAATTATCTGTATGTGCACCCTTTGTTTCTTCATTCAAATGCCACCTCACATAAGTGGGCCTTTGGTGGTATGTCTAGCTTATGCAGTTAATTTTTTTATACTTATGTTTTCTTTCGGTGACTAGTACTTTAGCATGATTAAACTGTATTTTGTTTGTTACTGTTTGCAGCTATTGCTGAACTACTTGACAATGCTATTGATGAGGTGAATTTCAACTTAATTTGTTGGCTTGAATATATTTGTCTTGTTTAATGGTACAGATGCACGGTGTAGGATTATTTTGGAAAACTTTATAATATGGTAAAATAGTCATAAAACTAGGATTTAATTTCTTTCGTCTTATTTGTAGTAATTGGTCTGAAATTTTGTATGGGATTCCAAAATTTAGTGATTTAACAAGGGCAGTGGCGTACTTTTACAATTGGAAGGTAGATCAGGTTATGAATGTTCATGTGGATTGACCTGTAATTAGGAGATCTGAATATTCTATGACATCAATACTTTGAAGTCTTATTCGTGCCAAATATTTACAAAACATAATTCGACCAGTATGCCAATAATCATTAAAATTTGGGAATAAGACCCACCTGAATAAAAAAATAGACTGCAATAAACACCCAATATTTTAATCAGATCAAAGCCAGGTATCAGTTGTTTTCTAGGCTAGACAAACTCTTATATAAATATATATATGTTAAAATTATGTTTGACATGTTCAATGACTAAAAATTTAAGCATAAATGAAGCTTGTATCACATTCTTACTCTGTTAATAGCCATTCTGTTGGTAAATATATGCACAGTTAAGTAGGTTACTACAATGTTTTCCCAAGTTTGCTATCTTGATGAATTCTCACTGTTTTGCACTTCATATCTTATTTCTTTCAAATTGGATAGATCCAAAATGGGGCCACGTTTGTCATTGTAGATAAAACATCAAACCCGAGGGATGGGAGTCCAGCTTTGTTAATTCAAGGTATTTTTTTCTCGATTTAATAAAAAATGATAATATACATTTTCATTCATAATCCATTTGTTTTTGTTTCTCTGTAGAAGTTGTCTAATGAAAGATTTGTAACTAGTAATTCTCAAAACTTGATAATTTGCTATTAGATGATGGTGGTGGAATGGACCCTGAAGCAATGCGTCGCTGCATGAGCTTTGGATTTTCAGATAAGAAGTCAAAGTCTACAATTGGACAATGTATTAATCTTGTGTTTTATTTGGAATATTTGTTGATTCTTTCTTTTTTGCATTTACGAAAGTTATGGTCTTCCAGATGGCAATGGTTTCAAGACTAGTTCTATGAGACTTGGAGCAGATGTGATTGTTTTCAGTCGCCGTTTGGATGATAGGTTTGGTTCCTCTGCCACAATCATTATCTACCTCGTGCATTAAAACTTTATTCTTGCTATTTATTTGTAGACTATTAAAGTTTATTATTGCATATTGAATTAGAGGATAAATTTATCATTTTCATAAATTTCTGATGACTTTTTTGAAAAAAATATTATGGAACAAACATAAGTATTACTGGAAATTTTTGCAATGATAAGGTTCTCAATGGTTTTTTCTTAGAACACCAGGAGGAAATAATCTATACTAATTATAATTTCCCTGGCTGAGTCCGGTGTTACAAGTCATGTGACACCAATTCAGTGAAATTACAAAAAGGGACATAATTTCAATATTAAACTTGAAATAATGATATACATGTTTTTTAAAATATCTTTATTTTTTATCGTGTATTGCTACTTTTAAATTGTTAATTCCCTTTATTCCTTGATCAGATCATTGACTCAGAGCATTGGTCTACTCTCTTATTCATTTTTGACAAATGCAGGCCATGACAGAATAGTTGTACCTATGGTGAGCATCCTCTTTCCATTGAGTTTATGCTAGTTTCCAATGCATGCTATAGTATCTTTGTGCAAACTGCAGGTGGATTATGAGCTTAATTCGTCAAGTGGCATGTTGGATGTGTTGCATGGTAGAGAACATTTTGCGTTTAATCTTTCCATTTTGTTACAATGGTCTCCATATTCAACAGAAGCTGAGCTTTTGAAGCAAGTAGGCCCTATACATTTCTGTGTTTTTTATTTTACAATCTTCTTGGAATTGTCAATGATTAATATTTCTGTTAATTGAATCGTACATCACATTAATATTTGCAAATTTTGGTTTTCAGTAATTTCAAGCACAAATATAATAACCTTTAACTCTTAAGAACGATTGTTGCTAACCGAATAAGGTGATTTCTAATAACAAGTGGTAAGATCACTTTGTGCTGTTGGAAATGATACCAAACACTACATCCTAAAAATGGGACTTGAAATAATATACGACTTTTGGCTTTCATTGGCCCTTACAGAGGGAGGAAGGAATGTGGATATTTTTCCACTTTTGTTCGACTCCTGTGGTATCTGAAAGCTGCATTGGCTCCCCGACTAATCCAGAGTTGAGCTTTGTCAATGCAACTACCAACTGAGCTAGGTCGGACCACAAACAGATATGTTGTATTTATACACTTAGGAACCCATCTTATTTTATTGTGCTTCAAGCCTCAGTTAAATGAATGACACTGATACAAGCTCTGTTTTTATTTTTATCCATTCTTAAACTAATACATAACAATGTTTTATATTCCAAAAAAAAAGGGGAAAGGGGAACATTGTATTTGTTGAATTTAAGGATATTGTCTTAAATGGAATACCATATGTTATAAGCAACTTAAACCTACCTCTGATCAATTTGAGTTTTCCTTAAAAATACTTTATTTGAGCTTTTTCCCGGCTAATTCTATACTTGACTTTTAGTTTTTTTTAACATGGGTCAATGACTTGTAAGCCTAGTTATGTCTTTCTTTTACAGTTGACTTGTGTTACTTGATTCAACCCATAAAACTAACCCCACATTCAAGAAGCTTGTGTTTTTGTTGTTTTGATTTTAAGAAGATTCTTTGTGCTGTTGTCCCCTTAATTTCTTTTAGTCTTAAAAGCCAAGTGCACAAGGGAAACGTGGGTTACAGTATTTAATTAAAACAACTTCCTAAATTACATTTAATTTGATAAAATAAAGTTTACTTCAAAACTAAAATCTACTTGGAACTTATGCAACACCATATCTGGAGCACCGGAAGAATGGATCAAATTGTGTAATGTATTTTATTTGATAATTCTTGAAAGTTTCTGGTCTTTGAAGTTATTCTTGTCTAACCTCAATTGTACTTCCATCTAAGTGCAGTTTGATGACATCGGTTCCCATGGCACAAAAATTATTATATACAATTTATGGCTCAATAATTATGGGTATTCAGAGCTAGACTTTGATTCTGATGAAAAGGTTGAATTTTTGTGTGCATGCTGTTCTACCTTTTCCAAGAAATTTTGCAACATCTTTCAAATGAAACCTTATGATTCCTGGTTGCAGGATATTCGCATTAGTGGAGATACCACAAAGGTTGATGCATACCCTGCTTGGAAAGCTGTAAATGAACAACACATTGCTAGACGTTATCATCATTCTCTTCGTGTGAGTCTAAGGTTTCTGTACTTTTTGTGTTAAACTAACGAGTAAAAGGATTCATATTTCTCGATTTTGATTCTGTCTCACTGTACAGGTATATTTGTCCATCTTGTATTTGCGAATTCCTGAAACTTTCAGAATAATATTGCGTGGTGAAATTGTTGAGCATCATAACATTGCTGATGATCTGAAATATATAGAGTATATCTTGTATAAACCACAAAGCGCTGGATCTGTGGAGGTACTATGTACTTATTCCAAGTATTATCATCATTTCTTATCCTAGTTTATCTTAATTGGAAACTAATGATCTATATGAACCACTGTCGTCACTATTGTGATGTTGCATCTCAAGTCAATAACCAAAAGTCTTATCAAAAAAAAAAGTCAATAACCAAAAGCTTTCTTGATGTCTAAACAACCATCCTCCTTTGTAATTTAACATGAAATTAACTGTCTGTCTTTTCATCTGTTGGATATTGCCTATGAAAACTTTACTGGAAGTTGCTTGCATGGGTATGGTTGTATTCCCTGAATCCCTTTATGGTGATTGCCTGAATGTTTCTCTGACTTTACTATGTATTACATGTCTGCTTTCTGGTTCAACTGCAGGGTGCAGTTGTATCTACAATTGGTTTCCTTAAAGAAGCACCTCGACTTAATATCCATGGATTTTGTGTCTACCACAAGAACCGTCTAATTATGGTAACTTTCATAAAAATATTTTACCTTTTTCTTTGTTAATGTTGGGGATGAAGCATGCAAATGACTAATGGTGTAACTTTGTTTGGTTAAATAAAGTAACATATCTTTTTCCCGGCTATATCTCAAAATGCTGCTCATTTATAGTTTTCCTAGAAACATAATGCTGCTGATCTTTTACCATTGGTGGAGTTAAATATCGGAGTATAGTATAGAAACATGCTTAGCTTGTCGCTGTCTTCTATTCATTTTCATCAAATGTTGAGAACATCAAATGTTGTTTGTTTTCACATCGGAAACTTAATAAAAATGTTAAAGTGGCTTCTGACCTGTGAAGTGCATGACTGTACAATTTCTATTTTTTCTTAAGCAAAATGCTCACTTCTGTCTTATGACTGGGAATTTACTAGGTTCAGGAATATTGTATCAACAGTTATTGTACATTCCTGTGTGATGTGTCTGTGCCTAGGTTTCTTTGAGGAAGGTTTTTCTCCTTGTGATTTGTATTACATGCCCGGATATATGCCTGTAAGGAGGAGATGTTTTCTGCTCCATGATTTATTTACATGTTTGTTTCAAGTGACTATTGTTGGTTTCTTAAAGTCTTTCCTTTTTCCTTCTTTTGCAGCCATTTTGGCATGTTGTTAGCTATACAGTTAGTAGGGGTAGAGGTGTGGTTGGTAAGAATATGTTAAATCACTGACATTTGACTCCTTTTTTCTCCATCATAGGTTAATTATGCGTAAAATCTTAGTACAAAGTATTATTCTATTCTTTCAGGTGTTTTGGAAGCTAATTTCATTGAGCCAACGCATAACAAACAAGGTTTTGAGAGAACTTCCCTTTTTCATAAGCTTGAAACTCGCTTGAAGGAAATGACATGTGAATACTGGTAATCTATTGTTTAATATCTAAGGGGATGTTTGGTATGAAGTGATCATCCCAAAATTAGGGTAATCTGCATTCAATAAATGCATAACCGTGTATGTTAGTAATTTAAGAATCCTAGGTGGCATTAATCTTAAATCATCTTTAATAATAAATTTTCACTAACCTGTCCCAATGAGATTGGAAAAACACTAGAAAAATTGCTAGCTAATTCTTGGCATAAACCTCTAAACTAGGCCAAAAAGTTTGAGGCTTGTTTAAAGGTGCTTGTAGCAGTACTTTTGTTGGTAATAGTGTATTTTTATACACAAAAAAAATTCTGAAGAGAATTTTAGATGCCAAGAAAAAGTGAATTTTGTTCCCAATGATCTTTTTCACTTGTATTGCCAGATATTGTAGTTCAAGATCACTAGTAATTTATAATGTATTACCAAAAAACATCATAATATAAAATCACTAGTGATCAAATTACCTTAATAATCCTCTTACCATGGTGATCTTACAAGTGATACCAAACGCTACCTAGGTCACATGTATACTTCCATAGCTTGTTTCTCCCCCTTAAAAGTTTTATTCCTGGTTTTCCTCCTATATAATTAGTCTTGCAATTCCTCTTACTCTAATAATCTATCAATAGTTAAGGCTTATCATGGATGTTTATGGTAGGAAGTTCACATTTTCATGTTTTCATTGTATGTTTGGGATAAAAACTGTGTACTTCTATTTTCGGTTATCGCTGAGAAAAATATTTAACTTCATGCTTCTTTTTCTATGCAATAACTCAATTTGATGCTTTGAAAATATTGATTTTAAGTATAGATTTTGGCTCATTTATAATGTCTTCATTGCCTGTTTTTAATTTGATCCTTCATTTTTTTGATGATGGTCTCTTCATGAGAGTTTAAGATCATGTTCATCATAGATTCCTGAAGCTCATTATTCTCCCTGGCAGGGATTATCATTGCGAACTAATTGGATATCAGATCATGAAAAAGTCTCGGCTAGCTGCATCTCATGTTTCACCTCAGTTTACAGGACAGAGCAATGTACAAAAATCTGTTGGGTTGAATCAAACTTATATGGTTTCTGATAGAGCAAAAGGACAATGTGTAGATGTTGCAGAGCAGTCAATCTCCATCTCTCATGGAAGAAGCACACAAGGTAATTGCTACATCAATCTTCTTTTGGTACTACTATGAAGGAATTTTTTTTTCTCAAGACATGGTGCCTTGTGGTTAAACAGGACTTCCTATGAAAAGGAAGGGACAGGCTGACATGGTAGAAATTGAAAAGGGGAAAAGCCAAGCAGGGACATGTGGCAACACATCTCAGGTCTGTGTAGGAGCTTGATCTTGCATTTCTAGATTTTAGAATTCAAAGAGGAGGTGAGGTTCATTTGCTAAAACATGCAACTCAGTACTGTTATATAATTCAATGGAAGCATGATTCTTTTCTGTCCATGCATGCAAATCCTTCCAGGCATCCTGCTTATTGGATGAGTTTGCTGCCCGATTCTAAATTGTATTGTATTTAGCTGGTTATAACTTATATGGGGCAACACACGAACAGTGCATTTATCTGTTCCATCTTTCTTTACGTAGGTGTTAGGAAACCCGGTCTTCTTTTGCTTGCTTATAACAGTTTCATTAACAAAACGGATTCTAATTGCTAACCATCTGTGCGCCTTTTCTTTTCCCGGTCTAGTCTCTCAATGCTGCTGCAAATCACTTGAAAGATCAAGAAACCCAAAAAATGATGCAAGAAAACAGGAAACTTCATGCAAAGTGAGTAGAATATTATTCCATGGTTTTATCAGTTTGTGAAAGACATCAATATCATATATATAGATTTTTCACATGCACTTAGTGATAGCCAGTCTTTAGTCCCAAAATTTAGCATACCAATAATCTGGCAGCTAACTGCTGGAAATTTACTTTTGTATTTCAGATGCTTGGCGTTTGACAAGAGAGGGGAGGAACTTACGGTCAAGGTACTAAATATTTGTTGGTTTCGGAAATCTTGCATCAATCACTTTGGACTTCAACGAAACTTAACCTTTAACTCGTGCAGGTAGAAGAGCTTAGGAATGAAATGGTAGAGGTTCAGCGCGTGTATGAACGATTGGTAGAGGAACTGAAGTCCTTGAATGTCTTCAAGGATGAAAAGAATGTAAATGTGTAAATACACTGTTTAGTCCTAACACCCAATTGCTCGATTCTTTCAATTGTATTTTGCGTCTCTGGGCATCGGGTGATCTCAACTTAGGGGTTGGGGGTGATAGGTCGTACCGACTTCATAGCGGGAGCTAGGGCGGGCGTGACGGGGGTTGGGTTCAGCTCATTTTGTATTTTGAATTATTTCAGGTGCTCTGAGCTTGTTTCTAGATTTGGGTAGTTCTTGCATGTTCTCTTATATTTAAGTTATAGAGAAAAGAATTAGATCTTTTTACTTTTGGTTAAACAAACAGGTTCCCCATTTTTACCATGGGTAAAATTGAAATGGAAGAAGTGATGGAGATTTAAAAGTTTATCATCCTATGTTAGAATTTGTGGAGGAGAAGTGTGGTGATGAAAATAGTTATTGTAATCAGTAGTGAAATTACTCTTAGTAGGTTTGAGTTCAAATTCAGTGATAATTATTAAAGGTGTTAAAGTCAAATTGTGTACATAAAATAAATAATAAAAATATATCATAATTCTATTTATGTTATTAGAGGTCAGCGTTCAATGAAGTTAAATTTTTTTGACGAGTCGAGTTTATAAAATTTGAGTCGGTTTTGTTCTAATTTTTGTTTAAATTTAATTATAATTATTTATAATATTATGGTATTATTTGATTTTAATTTAAACGGATTTTTATAATTATATACAATATATATATATATATATATATATATATATATATATTTCTATTTCTATATGTGATATTATATAAAATTGAAGGATTCGATTCAAACATAAAAATTAATTAATTAATTATTAAAAGTTTTGAATTATTCTATATGTTTTTTAGTTATTTGAGTTATTTATTTTATAACTCGACTCGAATTTAAAAAAAATTGAGTCGAGTTTATAAATAAGTCAATTTAATCTATGTTAAGCTTTTTCAAGTCAATATATTAATTTTTTGAATTGAGTCGAGTTTTGCTCATATACATCATGGTACGTTGCATTGATTGGTTGAAATATTTAGGGTAAGGTATACAAATGCCCCCGATTATAAGGTATTATTTTGTTGAGTTTCTTGACTATTAAAATATATATAAAATGCCCCCGATTATAGGGTATTGTTTTGTTGAGTTTCTCTACTATTAAAATATAAAATGACCCCATGACTATAAGATGTTTTTTTAGTCCCTCAACTATTAAAAGTTGTAAAATGGTCACTTGACTATTTATATGTATCAAACTCGTCATTTTTCAATAAAAAAAATCAGTGATTGCCTGAGATAGATGTTAACTTGTTGATTGTGATATGATAAAATAATATTTTAATGATGTTTACTGGCACTGTTGTTGCTTTTAAACACTAGCTTGACGACATAATGTTTCAAGCATTGGTTCAACAACATAATATAAACGGAAAGTCGATCTACAAGATACAACTTGAACGGTTCTATGATCAGATTTTATCATATCTCAGTCAATAGGTTAATGTCTAGCTTTAGACATTCATTATTTTTTTAACAGAAAATGACGAGCTTGAAACATATGAATATTTACGTGATTATTTGTAACTTTTAATAGTCGGAGACTCAACAAATCAATAATAATTTATACACTTTACCCAAATATTTATTGCATTTCTCAATATAAAACAGAGTTTATTAGTTTCGTCGTCTCAAAATTCAAATCTCATAAAAATTAATAAATTAGATTAAATCAAAATTTATCGGAGATGTATTTTTCTATCATATCTACTTAGAAGTAAAAAAAAAAATATATGACAGTTTCTTCTATAGTTAATTTATCGTCTCTAATTAGAGGTAAAAATACGTGATAGTTTCTTCAATGGTTGAAATGAACGTACTCGAGGAACGCAAGCTAATTTTGTCCTCCACAATTATGGTGTGATATGAAAGATGAATAAAGGTGACATGCAGGGGCGGGAGCATTTAGTTCACATATGAATTAAATGTATCCTCATTATTTTTTAAAAAATATATATAAAAATAATTTAATGTATTAAAAGGAAGAAGAAAAAAATAAAAAAAATTTACGTACTTATTTTTTCAAAAAAAAAAGAAGAAAAAATATTAAAATTTCAGATCTTATTTTTTAATTTTTAGATCCGTCACCGAATTATTCTATCAAAAAGATATTGAATTGAGTTTATTTTCTTTATATACAAATTGGGTTAAAAAACCCTGTGAGCTTGTGACTCACACTATCTTACTATCTATGATTGAACAAAATTGTCACAATCCCTTGTTTATTTCGGTGAGGACTACCTATTGATACTCACAATATTCATTTGGTATATTATTAATAGAATGATTTCCTTTATTACTAAAAAAGAAGAAAAGAAGGGATAAGCTTTGTTAGGTTAGTGGCAGTTTGGAGAAGTCCCTTTTTTTCATCTTGAATTTCCAATGCATGTGAATGATTGTCACCATTTTCACCTTCATTTTCCGATGCTTATGAATGATTGTCACTTTTTCATGGGAAAGGAAACACTAAAGCATGTGCTTCCTCGTGGACTCCCCTTACCAATTCTACGCATCTAAGTTGTAAGATCACCACGAAACTAACGACATCGGTGGTAAAAGAATTGTTATTATTTTTTAAAGTTTTAGATTAAAACATTAGGAATGCTAAAACTGTGAGCGTTCAACGTCAAATGGTAGTGAGTTATCTTTAAAAATATATTACCTTTTACTTATCTCATATTAATAATAAAAACCCTGTAAGATCATAGTAAAACATGCTTGAGGATTGAATTAAATATGATAGTTTCTTCTATAGTTAAAGCATCAGGAATGTTAAATGTATGAGCGTTCAATGTCAAATGAAAGTGAATTATCTTTAAAAACATATTATCTTGTACTTATCCCATATTAATAAAAAAAATGTAATAAGAAAGTAAGGAAATATTGCATAATACAAAGAAATATTGCATAATACAATGTTGTTGTTCGGAAATTATTTAGGATGAATTTCAATGTAATTGTTAAAATCTTCCTCCTATGTTAATGATTTAATTGAACTCAATCAATGAATGTAAAATTATTAGTCATAATGTTGTACTTAACCGCATAATAATATAATTAAACGTAAAATTAAATTTTAGTGTTATAATTGTCTCGCATCTTTATTTCTTGTTTGTTTTCTAATAATTTTGTCTTTAAGACACGATTTTCATTACTTGTATAACATGTTTTTTTTTATTTTCTTTTCCAACCGTTTTTTGTTTATTTTTCTCAGGGTTGGATTTGGTGTCGCCACGACTGATCAAGATGACGTCCATTTGTTATCTCGTTGATCTTCCATTCTTTAGACCCTCGAATTAAATTTGGATACGGAACCTGAGATTGTAGATAGTTATCTCACGTTGTTTGAATCTGATTTGTATTTTATCGGTAGTCTTTTAGTAGTTTAATCCATTGTTGTGGTTCATTTACCATAGCAGTCAAATTTGTATCTATTTTTGTGTTCGAGTTTTTTTAGATGAGATTTCCATATTCTCTTTGTATAGTCCTAATATAATCTTTAGTGGTTAGTTTCTTGGTAGAATATTTATTGTAAATTTTGATATTATCTATTTTTTAATAAAATTAGTTACTTCTATTTAAAAAAGCTAAAAGTTTATAAATAATAACATTATTAATTAATTTCGTTAGATATTGATTTAAATTATAATTAAAAATTAAATTAGATTTTATTATAATTTTATTGATTGATTATTTGGTGATTAAATTTATTTAGTAAGTATCATTATTGAATAAGGATATTTGATGACCACATATTCAGCTTTATAATTATGAGAGATAATTATTTTTTTGGAGAAGTGTAATTATTTTGTAATTTTTACATTTTTTATGGTTTATGTTGAACAAATAAATTGTGTAAGGATATTAAAAGAGTGATTTGAGATATAATATTTTCATATAAATAGTATAACATGTATTTGTACTATTCGTAATCTTTACATTTATAATAGATTATTTTATTTGTCATTCGTGAAGGTAAACAAACTCGAATCATGTTAAATATCGTCTTTTACGCGTGTTCTATTTTTTTCGTTAAAAGATAACGATATACGTAATGACCGTACAAATAAAACAGACAGATTTTAAGTGAAAAATCTTTAGAAAAAGATCATGAACAAAAGATGAAAATTTTGACTAATGTTGAAAAAGAAGAATACAAAAGAATTTTCAAGAGCTGACTTAACTTATAACCTTAATTTTTAATATCTATTTATAGCGATAATTATTTAATTATAAAAAATTATATAATAATAATTTTACTTTAACTATGTTTTACCCTCAACGTAAAATAATTCGGATTAAAGTTTAATAGATTTATATATTTTATAATTTAATAACAAAAATATAAATTTATTAATAATTTATTTAAAACAGAAAGTAGAAATTTTAAATAAATAAATCCATGAATGATGCAAAAGCAAAAGACAACCCGTTCAAACAGAAGAGTCGAGCATCTACCCATCTGTTTGTTAATTAAAATAATAATGAAAGATGTATATGCCACGTCATTATGAACTTATCAATTTAGTTAAAAAAATTATTTTAATAAAACTTAATTTTACTAATTAAATACATACAATAAATTGTTATTAAAAGAATATAAATATTTCTAAAGAGAAAAAACCATTTGAGTCATCTTCAATTCTGGTCTTTCAGAAAATAAATCTCAAAAGAATAATGAGAAAAATTGCAGTTTTTTTTTATCTATAAATATTCTCTAAACAACTTTGTTCAGGTATCCTCTTTCGCTTTTTGTGTTCAATCCATTGTCACTAACCCACGCCTTGCTCTGCCTGAAACCGTCTCCTTTCACATTCATGGCCTTGTTTTTAGTTTTTGCTCATATCTTCTGCTGACAAGAAAGGTTTGCTCTTTTTGGGGTGGTTTCTTGTTTGAATTATACGCCTCTGAACAACTTTTGGCCTTGTTCTTTGAAAAGGGTCTTTCTTTTTTCTGCTGGATTCATTAAATATATAATTAATTATTCCCATATGCTTGTTCTTTTTTCCTGTGGATTTGCATCTGTAGATCTCCTTTTTTTTTCTCCCAACACATATGCCTTTACAGCCCTTTTTTTATTATATCCTTTCTGATTCCCTGTATGAGTTAGAAACCCAGAATTTGCTCTATCTTTTTTATTCTGAGTGTTGTTCTTTTTTGTTGGAAGCAGTTTAAGAGATCGAATTCGTGGAGTGGTTAGATCATTGGATTGGAAGTGGAAAAGGGTGTTGGGCTATTTCTTGTTTAAGGTAATTATTCAAGTGATTTGAGAAGAAACGCAAAGGAATAATTATTTTT